AAAACTGTAAACAAATCAATGAAATCGTTTGTATATAGTGATCCCGTCAACAAAATGTGATTATTTAATAACTTGATTAATTGATGGATTCTTTGATAGTTAAAAATAAATTACTTCACCTAGAATACTACAATCCCTGACCCTGCAATTCCTGTCCCAGGTTTGGCGGCCAGTGACTTTGTAGCTATAGCAAATGAAATAAATCAGTATATTGCTAGTTTACCCATTTCCACAAAAACCCTACCGTCGTATTTCAAGTAAGGACGTACCTTCCCAATTAAATCCATGGAATGTAGGCTTACTCAAACCACTTAATGATGAATCAATTACTAAATCAGGAGGGTCGATGGTATATACAAAGAAATAAAAGAGTGTGCTTACGCTTACGAGATGGTGCCCCGTTTACCGACATTGTCAATGCGTCATTGTGGACTAGCAAAATACCGACACAATGGTAATGTGCGAATGTAATTTATCCACAACCAACTCAACCTTCCTTCATGCCTTAAGACCAAACTCACTTACTTTAACCACCCCACTGCCTGACATATATCATCGAATGGTATCCATATAGGCCTATGCCGGGAAGTCAGGGAAGTAACAACACACTAATGCTGACTGAATTCTCGAAGGGTCGATGTTATAGACCATGCCATTGTTTTTCATGAATTGCTATAAATGGGTGTATCTCCTATATCGTTATAGAATTAATCATGAAGTACGTTATAAAGAATAATTGTCAAACAAGGTCACATTGTCTGGCGGAGTACCACAATGTACGATTTTGACGCCAACCGTCTTCATGTGCACGATACACATGAAGATGAGCAGTTGCGTAACGCCTATGCGTCCTCGTGCGGGGGCCCCGAAGGGCCACTTTCCATGGTGTAATCGATGTAGCACCCAACGGGCTTTGTTGGTATATAAGAGAAAAATTTGTCTTTGACATCGACTATAGGAAATAGGCATATATTGTATTATGTGATTAGGCGAATTAAAGGTGGCTGATGCCGAGGTTCTCCTAGATTTGTTTTAAATCAAAAGAAAATTATATAATGTTCAAATTTAAGTATGTGAGTGCCATTTCGGGCCATATAGAGGTGCCATAATCATAAATTTATTACATGAGCCCTAACGATGGTGGGGGATGAGGTGGCCCCGGCCCCATCGTTGCGCCACTGACTGTGATTGAGGCGGTAATGTACATGTGTGGAAATACGTAGACGTATAAGGTTATACCTCTATGGGTAGGGTTATACCTCTATGGGTAGATCAAGTATTACACCCGGTAGAGTTCAAGATAGGCCTAATCTTAATTCCTTTCTGAATCCTCATCCCAATAAATGCAAGGCAGTGACGGTTTACTTTGGTAAACGAAATTGATAGTCACCAACTTCTAGTTGTTAACTTAGATAAAATTCTCTGAGTATGCTGCAAAGCAATTTAAAAACGGAATGCTCAAATTCACGATATTATTACAGCACCAAATAGAAAACTATTTATGGTTAGAAAGCTTACAATGGCAGGCTTAATATTCAAGAATATTCAGTTGTTTATAAGTCTTAGCTTAGACCCATTCTTGAATACGTATCACCAGTTTGAATGCTAGTCTCAATATCAATCAGATTACTTGTATTGAGAAAATTCAAAATAGTTTGTGCAGATGTATTTTGGGGAAAAAAACTATTTCATACAAAAACTTAGCATCCTTAGCCTGGAGTCTCGAAGAAGTAGAAAACCATTTGTAAACAGTTTGCTAACAGGGCATATAAAAACAATGGCACAAATGGTTCCGACAACGTTGACACATTATCATTCGTAATCTAAGGAATAGGCCTCCATTAAACTGTATTATTATAAAACCCATAAATCAAGATTGTACAATAGCCCATTACCTTACCATTAAGCAATGAACGAACAAGTAATTTCCCCTCCCCCACTTTCCTCATTTATCAATTGTATAACATTTTATATATTTTTGTAAGAATTCCTAATGTGTTTTTAAATGTTTTGATATATAGTAGTAATAGCATTTTTATATTACATTATGATGTTTGAAATTTTTATAAAAGTGTTATTTTCTTTAACCTGTAATGTAGGCCTAATCTCATTTTGTATATATATATAAGTATGTCAATACTATTAAATTTTGTTAACAATATAAAACAAGTTAATGAAAACATCTTTTTGAAAATAAGAATAATTGTTTTTAAAGTTACTGTATTGATTAACTAATTTTGAATATTAAGAAATACAATTTCATATTTATCCATTTAGTCTTGGCACCTTGCGTTTTGCGGTCATGCCCATTGGCCTGCTGTTAATGTCACGGTAGATTACGATAATGATCACAAATACCTTGATGTTACATTTAACAATTTTTATAAGTAAGATTCTTTCATGTTTTACCTAGTAGACATCGCCTCTTATTGGTAACATAGTCCTTGTTAAACACAATGCGACTCCAGTTACTAGGCTATAATTGTTAGATCAACTTCTGACACTTTTGGAGGCCTTCTAATAAATAACTTGATTAATTTTTAGTATGTCGACTTGTCAAGATAATCTATCTCGCCATGACAACAACAACTTTTACTATGTCGACTTGTCAAGATAATCTATCTCGCCATGACAACATACAATTTTTACTATGTCGACTTGTCAAGATAATCTATCTCGCCATGACAACATACAATTTTTACTATGTCGATTTGTCAAGATAATCTATTTCGCCATGACAACATACAATTTTTACTATGTCGACTTGTCAAGATTATCTATATCGCCATGACAACATACAACTTTTATTACGTCGACTTGTCAAGATAACCTACCTTGCCATGACAACATACAACTTTATTATGTCGACTTGTAAAGATAATCTATCTTGCCATGACAATATACAATATGTATTATGTCGACTTGTCAATATAATCTATCTCGCCATGACAACATACAATTTTTACTATGACGACTTGTCAAGATAATCTATCTCGCCATGTCGACATGATATGTATATTATGTCGACTTGACAACATAAATTATCTTGAGAAGTCGTCAAGTCGAATGGTACTTCCGTATTTTTGACCATGATGACGTCGTCAAAATGAAAAATAAAGGGACACTTCCGAAAGAGAATTGTTTCAGCTATAACATACTCACAGGTGGGAGACGATCAATGAAGAATAAGCGAGATACGTTCAAACGAGTATAAAAATAATGGCGTCATAAATAAAAATTTATGGCTGATTCGGACACAATGTCCGATCAGCCATAATGATCTAAAAAATCATATCTACAACTCATGTGCTTTCAGAATATGGAATAAAAATGGAGGGGGGGGGGTGGGGTCACCTTTCATCCTAAGGAGCTATAACTGATTAAAAATAGGCATGATTTTAAAGCATACAGTATTTTAATTTTGACGCACGTGTACGCGCACGTTACAGCGAGATACGCTCAAATGCGTATTTTCAAAAATAACGTCACATATGAATTCAGTTTTATTGAATTCAGATGGCAATATGATGACGTCAAAATGTCCGATCACCACTCATCCTAAGGAGCTATAAATGATTAAAAATAGGCATCATTTTAAGCATATATAAATTTGACTCACGCGTACGCGCACGTTAACACGCGCAAACGGAAAATTAAGGTACATGACATTCAACGTTGACCTTAAGTTTATGTCCACATATGATTCAGAAATGACGAATGGTTAATATATGGGGTCATCAAAGTTTGGGGAAAGATGTGGGGGTCAGAAAAAACATTTATTTTGACCATGATGACGTCATCAAAATGTAAAAAGCTATAACATACTCAAAGTTGGAAGACTATCGGTCAAGGATAAGCGAGATACGCTCAAATGCGTATTTTCAGAAATGACGTCTTGTTAAAATTCGGTGTTTTTGAATTCAGATGGCAATATGATGACGTCTCAATGTCCGATCAGCCATTACGATCTATAAAATCATATTTACTACTCATCTGCTTTCAGAATATGTAATAAAAATTGGGGGTCACCATTCATCCAAATAACTGATCAAAAATAGGCCTGATTTTAGCATATTTTCACTGTATATCGGCATAAATGCGCGCAAAGATGCCTATGTTCGATGCACGCGTACGGCATTGCAATTAGCCATACGATGACTGAAAAGTATGGATATTTGTGAAAAATGCGCGCGCGTAGTGGAAAATAAAAAAAAAGTTCAGACTTAGAGATAAGCCAAGCTTGAGTTAAGCCCAGCTCAACGCTAAGCCCGGCTTAACTTTGGTAGGCGTTCAGACTAGCGGAATTAGCCAGGCGCAAGAATTTTCATAATTGACCGTAACCAGCAAACGCGTTTCAAAACATTGCTCGCGAAACGTACGCTCGCTCACAGTGTAAGTAATTGAATGCCGATTGGCAATTTTGTTACTTGGAGTCAATGCAAGACCCCCCGCAACGATTACATCCCGGCTTAGAAAACTTAAACACGGTGGCATGCCAGGCCTAGTTACTAAAGGAACACAGATAAGCCACCTAGTTCAGACTGGCACATGGATAAACCCGGTGAGTTGAGCCAGGTTTATCCACCTAGTCTGAACTAGGCCTTAGCCAAAAAGTGATTTTGAGCATTTTGAAATTTTGACGTTACGACGCGCACGCGAAATATTTATGATATTTATGATATTCAACTTTGACCTGAAGATTATGCCCACTTAATATGATTAAGAAATGACAATTGGTTAGGATATGATCGATATTGTAAAAACGCAAAATTGCGCGTAGATGATGTCACGCATGACTGAGCACATTGAAAAGCTTATTGTGACTATTCCACGCCAAGTTAAATGTTCCTTGAAGTGCGCATAAACGTAGCTCGAGGAAAATTTAAGATATGGGTTAACAGAAATTGGGAGAAAGAAAGAGGAATAAAAAGATGATGATGAACCTGACAATAACAAAAGGTGATCCGCTTGTGAAGCAGATCACCAATAAGACAACAATATAGCAGCACAAAATGTTCTGTTTTATTTATTTAGACAATCATGGAACTGCATACAACAAGCTATCAACTATATTACATCACAAGTGTACAGTATTCTTTTACAATTAAATCCAAAAATGTAATACTGTTCAAATAAAGGTACCAATATCATATTCAATTTCGTACCTTAAATGTAATGTTTGCTTCAGTTAAGCCGAAGAAACAGAAACAACAACAATAACAAGCTGTTTATTGACAAATGGAATGACAACTATCCCTGTTTCTTCTTTACTACATTATACCAAGGAAATTGCTCTTTGACGATTCTAGGTGGCATGAACAATTTTCTATATTAATTTAAGAAATACAATTAAATTGCGGTGCTTTTCTGTCAATGCTGAACTTTTCTACTATAGTTCCTGATATCATTTCTACTTGCCATGTATCAATTGGTTTCCATGTTTCCAGTCCTTTAAATTTGTTATGCTTCAATCACCAGTCACTTTAACTGCCATAGTTGCAGTAACAAGTGACATAGTTGTCATAGTTTCAGTTACTTGTTTGTTATGGTTCAAATTAATTGTTTCCATGACGCTAGTCACCAGGTATATAATTTCCATGGTTTCAGACATCAATGACCCAATCACCATGGCTCTAATCGCCTTTGACCATGACTTAAGTAGCAATTCAAGTACATTATTGAAAATAATTTTCCAAAAACATGTTTCATTAATATATATAAAAAAGAAACTCGCATATCTTTTTCTTGAATTTATGTTACTTTTTTTGACTACAAAACTAATCTTCAGTTCCACTGTGCACTTTCTGGAAAAGCTGAATTCCATGTTGTCCAGCTCAAACATAATACTTAAATATATTTAAATATTTACTTCTATCAAAATAACATGGTCATTGTTTACATTTAACATTAAAATAGTCATGCAAACAAAAATCCTGGTCAACAGAATATAACATAACTTGCTCAATGGTCATTTTCTAAATAAATATTCAAAATACTTTATATTTCTAAAAAAGTAAAAGATATGTTACTAATATCAGAAATACATAGAATGTAAAAATAACAATAAAATGAGGAAATTGTTTTGGGGTTAATAAATAACCAAAAATAGAATAGAAAAAAATCAAAATAATAACAAAACTATTTATATATAAAGATCAATAATCAAGGTATAACATATATATAGTTTTTTTTTTTTTTTACAATTTCAACCAATCAATTGAAGTGTTTGTTCCCTTTTTAAGGTTATCAAATATTTTAAACATCCTATGAAAGAGGAAAAAAATGAATGAAATTTTAAAAGTAACACACCTATTTTTGTAAGACACTTTTTGAATCAGCAACATAAACATGTATTACAGTATAACATCAAGGTTATCTTGATTTAACTCGACAACAACAATTTAATATTTGGCAAAATATATAACAATTAAATCATCATGTATATTCATTCCTATTCTAAGCTTTTTGGAATCATTTGTTTTTCAATTCTAATTATTTACTGTAGAAATACAGTACCAGCAAATTTTATTCACCATATATAATAAATATTATTATCAGCATGAACAAGTAATATAAAATTGTTCACATTTATCTCACAACTAATATGGAAATTCAGGCTAGGAAATGTTGTAACATTTACTAATGACTATAGTGTTCATCTTGACAAACAGAATGTTGCAATAACTATAAAAGCTGTGGTTCACAATTTTGTATAAAACTGCACCTTCTCATCAACATCTGTGTTATAATTATAACAACATTTCATCATCAATAAATAATAAACTACTTTCATTCAGCATTTGTTTCCTTCAGTGGTAAATTCTGCACCATGGATGTCATTCAGGTATGCAAAACCAAATAGAGGTTGAACTCAAAAACTGTTATTGTACACAATCAACTGGTAAATTCTGCTAAATAGTAAAGTCATCTATAAACTATGTTATACAAATTGTCAACAATATTCACAGAGTAGTCGAACAGGCATCTGGTAAAACACGATCATAAACATTTACGGTACTAAACAGCAGAGAGGTTGTTGAAGACACACCATGGTTTACATTAAAGCACACATTGGAATTTCTTAATGTGAAGTTGCCATCTACTTTTTTTGCCTAAAGTTTACAAAGGTGACTCTAGCCAATCATCATCACTGTTAGTTGTGAGTTCACATGCCATGCATCTAACAATTAATAAGCATCATTAGCACCAAGCTGTTAAGAGACTGAGATGGTATGTATGTGGTAGATTGAATGTTGGCTTGGTCTGTTAGGTGTTAGTTTGCTGATCAGAGATCTTCGACGATGTCTTCATCTGACATGCAAGAAGTGTCATAGTGCTCTGAGGTGGTCGTTACACTTTGCATACCACGATCCTAACAGAAACATAAAACAAAAATAGTTAAGTTATACTGTTAGAAAATGAGCTAAAAATAAATAGTAATTTGTCATTATTTTCAAAATGAAATAAATTTGTGAAGGAAAGCAGTTAAAAAAGTTGGTAATTTTAAAGTTGAATTCTATTTCTTTTTGTTCTACTTATTCACATTTCAAAAATCATATACTGTACTTAATATTAGAGAGTGATATCTCATAAATTATTTGCACTAAAGATATTCTTTCCATGATAAAATTGGAAAATTCTCAATTAAATTAAAACAGTAAAATTGCTCATTCAAAATGATCAAAGTTTTTGCTGAATTACTGTCCTTTAACTACAAAGTGCAAAGAATATAACAAATGTATAAACATCTGTAAACTGGCAAGAAGAACCTTATTTTTGGTCAAAGTTGAAAGCCAATAATCAATAATTAATTCAAATATAGAAATGTTTTTCATAAGTGTTTTGAGTACTTTTTTGAGTATTGGCAATTATCAATCAATCAATCAATCAATCAATCAACCAAATATGCTTGTCAAATTGGTCAAACAAATATAGTTAGAAATAAAAGATCTAGGTTTCCTAAAGATACCAAAAATAAAAAAAAAAATACCCCAAAATAAAAAAAAAAAAATAACAAACAAAAAAAAAAAAAAAAAAAAAAAGTATAAAAGAATACATATAAACACATGAGATCCTGAAAAGAGAGAAAGTTTTTGGTGTTACTGAAATATTAGGATTAGTTTTGCTGTAAGACATGCCTCTAGAAATCCCAGCAAGCATATTAGAAACATTAATATATCATACAGTAGCTAAAAACATTAAATCATTACTGAAAACCAATAAAAAAAAAATTTTCTTAAAAGATTAATTGGATATATAATTTTGGGAATTTGTTATTTTGAAATTGAAGTTTTCATTAGTATTGCCTCTAAATGTGGCAAAGTCAAGCCAAACCAGTCACTCATCGCAAACAATTTTAAGTTATTAAAGATGAAAATGAAAGCTATAAAATGGTAAAAGGATCATTTAAATCATTTCTTTATGAAGTTTCAAGCATTTAAACACTGTTTAAAGAAAATATTTGAGACATCAGACTTCAAAGTTGATAATTTCAGGCATTTCTCAGGCAGAAACAATCACCCAAATTTTAAAATTGTTGTTTAATATATAAATTTATCACATCATGATGTATAGATATAAAGGTTAATTTATTGCAATAAAATAGATTTCACAAATTTTGACCTTTCAGCATGTTTTGGCCATTATGTCTGAAACAAGATTTGCGACGAGTGACTGGTTTGGCTTGTCTTTGCCACAAATAAGACGGACATATTACATTTTAATTTATACTATATACATTTTTTTAATATACTTTTTTTTTTATCTGAATGTAAAATAAGTTCTATTAAAACTAAAATTGTAAATAGATAAAATATAGGGCTTATATATTTATAAATAGGTGACTTTTGGATCACTTTATTAGTTTTCACTGAGAATACTCTTTCAATATTTGGACAGATTGTTACAAAAATGTTGTGAAAGTCAATAATTCCCCAACTATATAAAACCATGCTTGCAACCATGCAGAAGAGTGTGGATTAACGTAGCTTGATATATTCATTATACATGCAAAATCACTATTATGTCCATCTACCTCACAAAACTACCAAAAATATGAGTTTAACCAGCAATTTTACGGTACTTACTAAACAACTCACTGATTATTATTAATAAATACATTGATGAGCATTACCAGAAAACATTCTGCAAATAATGAGCACATCTAGTATATTAACTCTATTCAGTGAACAATAAAAATGTTGCAATGAGGGAAAAGGAAGAACTTATAATGTATCTGTTTTTTATTGATGAACTTAAATAATTGAAGTAATAATGAATGATAGCAATAATAATAAAAATAATAAATAACTATGATGTTATGATATTTTCTATTTTTTGAATTTTATTGCAGTCTGAATTTGTTCTTGTACAATACTGTAATTATTCTAATGTTTCTGTTTTTCATTGATGAACTTAATAATTGAATTAATAATGAATGATAGCAATAATAATAATAATAAAACAATAGAATTTTCACATTTTATATATGTTTACTATTTATGATTGCTTTTATTGTCCAGTGCCTTTTTGTCTATATTTTTTGGCTTGCAATTTAGTTTTTACTACAATGTTAAATTCAGTAAACCTTTGTATTGTTTCTCTTTGCATGTTTGTGCAAATGAATTAATTATGGGAAAGAAGGATGGAGGGAGGAAGGAAGGAAGGTACTCTAAGGAAAAGAAGCAGAGAGCATTGATGGAAGAAAAGGGATATAGGGTGAAATATCTGAACAATGACCCACTGGTGACTAATACAGATAACAATGTTTGGGTCATTATTATAAGCTTTCATATACAAGTGACCATCCACTAGACATCAGACAATCATACAAGTTCCAGAGTAGAGGGCGCTATAACAGCTACAAATACTGAAGTTGCAATCAGCATTTTTGGAACTGTTTATCACATACATGCCAACACCCACACACAAGCACTGTATTAAATATTAATAATTATTTAAATCACAGTTATTAGAAAATAATACCTTGCAAATTGGGTTTTGTCCTTTAGGGATGGGGAAAAAAAATCAGAAGAAATACTTGTCATGCAGAACATTAAACAAATTACCAAAATATTATTTATATGATAAAACGTTTCTCCAAAAATGGGTAAAAATGTATTAATAAGCATTAATTTTATAATTATTAATATTTAAAACCATAAAAAAAAACCAGGCAGCTATAATATTTATTTAAGGAGATTAAAGCAGTTAAAAATCAATTTCTGTTAATGATGAAAAAATTAGATACATTTTAACACTAGAATACTATAAGTGAATTATAAAAAATATGAGGACTTGAATAAATGTACAATATCTACAAATATACATATTTTTATGAAGGAAAAAATATTACTTCTATATACATAAAAATAAAGCTAATGGATCCATTACAAATATTTATAGGCAATATTATATATGTTTTCAGAGGAAAACACAGAAAAATTTGTAGCAATCAGAGCAACGTTTCTAATGGGTACGTCCGTTTCATTCCTAGAAATTTAGGCGTACTCGCATCATCTGTAGCAATTACTTCAGAATACTTTGGTTTTCGGAATTTAAAAAGTCTTAATTGTCCCTCGCTTAATAAACGCCACGTTCTCATTCCTTTACTTACTTTTTCCTCCAGTTCGTCAGTATCTTCCGTTATAACATACACATTCGGTGTTGAAAACATTTCACTTCGATCGTCATTACTTGTGTTGCCGACGTCATTAGAATGTTGATTCACTTTGTTTTTATTAATCTCTGAAACTAAGTCATTGTTTTTGCGATTCTCCTGTGCCTCGGCTATTCCGTTCACATAAACGTTTATCAACGGTTTACTTTCACTTTGCTCCTCCTTTGAATCATCTTCTAAGTGAGTTGTTTCCGTGACATTGGCATCATTTGAAGTCTTCTGTATGTCTTCCTCTTCCTTTACGTCAGATAAAGACAGCGGGTTTTCCCGTATCCGCCAGCCCAAGTGATCCGCAATGCTGTCGTCAACAACACTATTCTCATCTAAAGCTAAAGGGGCTGGATCTTCCTGGGGTTCCTTAATGAAAACATCACTCACAAATTCTTCTCCTTCACGAATCATCGGAGTTTCTGAAGAAGGACTTTCAACGCTCATACTAAATCGGTTTGGTGCTTCTGAAATAAAAAGAATGTGAAATATTAAAATACGAAAGAAGATATAAAAAATCATTATTGTAACTAAATGCCTAATTGTTACATATTATTGGATTCTCAATAAAATATTTACACATGTAAAATATTATGTTAAAATTTAAATTATCAAGTAAATTTTTCTGATAGCATTATCTTAATCAGAACTTCTTTATCCAAACATGTACTTGTATGTACTGCAAGAAAAAAGTATACAAAAACAGTCTTTAAACTGACCTAAACATAAAAATCAAATTAGCAAGTTTGTGTTAGGGATCAGGTACTATTCATATCTGTCAATTGGTTTTAAAGTCATACCTATGGAAATCTCAGCCATGCAGTTCGGTTAAAAGACAAACAAACACTCACTCACTGACACATAAACACACATCAATTAGAAATAGTTAGAAATTGTTTCTTGGATTTAACATTCAAAAATTAATAATAAAATTAAATCACTTTTAAAACAATACCTAAACTCCACAGTGCAGTCTAATTATATATCACATGGTTCATCTATGGTATTACATGCAAACTCCGAAAATTTAATAAAATTTTATTAAAAAAACTAAGCTAATAACAGGAGTTAATTACAGGGAAATTTTTAAAAAATTGCAAAATTTACAAATAATAAATATCTCTTAATTACAGTATATATAATCTTATTTAAATACATTTGGAATTAGCGAATCTAATCTACAATCTTGTATTTTTCTAAAACTCTGTCTACACTAACACATTTTAAGTGACAAATGAATGTGATATGACCATATTTGGGTGAAATGACATCTTCATGCCCATATATGGACAGATCACACAAATCTGACAAATAAAACTTGATAGTTTGAAGAGAGCTTATGTCATGCATGTTGTAAATTGTGAGAAATTAGTTGATTTCCAAACAAAATTTGCGAAGCCTCTGTGTCTGCATTCTCTTCTGCAGGGCATGCAGAAATCAGATGAAAATCATTACGGTATTTACGGTATATCTGTCAGGTTCGATGATATTTGTATCATTTGGGGCAAAACAAATTTCAAAATCTAGAAAAAGAAAGGCACATAAACACAAACCATAACATGAGGCATATCCAGACAAAAGAAATGATCACACTGATACAAGTATAAACCCTCATCCAGTATAAGTCCCAATCTAAATGTGAACCCACCCTTAAATCTACCTAAAAAGTGTAAATGTGCATATAAGTTGAAGTCCACATTCAAATGTTAACCCACTTTTATGGCGAGATTGATTCTACAAGTTAAATACCATTGTAAGCTGAAAGCCAGGTAAACCCACATTTAATTATAAACCGATCTACAATGTGTAAATCTACATTGAGTTTTTATTATTTTAATTCATTAAGCCAATGATTTAAGTATTAAATTAATAAATAGTGAAATAAATCACTTTCTAAGAAGCAATACAGGCATGTAGTTTTTTTTTGGTCATGAGATAAAAAAAAAAAACAAACCAAAACATTGAAAGGAATTAAGCAAAAAAATATCATTTTATACCTGATATTTGATAAAAAAAAATATATATTAAGCCTACTTATTTTAAACACACCTAGGAGTATACCTACACTTTCTTGTAGCCTAACTACATTTGTAGCCTACAAAAGGGTTTAGACCAATGTTCTAATACATTACAACTGCTAGGGATGTACAGTAGTAATTGCAGATGGGGCCACCTAGCCTTGAAGTTCTCCACCCACTCTAATAATTTCATGTAACCTCTACCAACCATTATTTAGGGTGGCTATCTCAACGAGCTTTGCTCTTACTGGTCACTCCCTACTGTTTGCTTTTATTCATTTTATAAAAATGTATCTTGATGGATATCTTTAAACGGTGAATAAACACCCTTGCTCATCATCAAAATCCATGGCCTTTTATTATCTAGAGTTTACCAATGCAATTACCCATTGATCTTAAAAATTTCTACCACCCACCCTTAGTTTTCTACAGCTACAGCAGTGTACTACAAGTATAAAACCTTTTTGTAAAATCTACAAGGGTAACTAATCTGCCCTCTAAAGGAATACTTATCGTTGAAAGATTTCTGACCTGTTTGTAGATGAAAATATACATGTATCAGTGTGGTTCATTCCAAATTAAAATAACAAAATAGAGGACATATGAAACAAAGATTGAATACATCTCCAGATCATATTTAAACATATTCCACACACCTATAAAAAGAGAGAGAGACACACACACACACACACAGCTACCCACATACATTTAGAAATAGACACACAAATAGTCACGCATCAAGACATTGAGTTCCTTTTTAGCTCTTTTTTCAGCTGTAGCAGAAAATTAAAACAAACAATACTGTAGAAATGAATATTTGAAGAATAAATAAAAATCAATCATAATAAAACAATTAAAGTCCTAATTGAAAAGTAGCCTACAATGACTTACCTCCAAAAGATCCTTTGTTTAGTGAAGTGTTACTCTTTCGTTTGTCAACGCTGGTTGAATCACTGTAGCGACGATTGTCCCACATGTTACGCAATTTCTAAAACGTAATGGTGAATAGTAATTATTTCTGGTATTCCTGTATCATTGTAATCATCATCATTATCACTATTATCATCATCCTCCTCTTCATCATCATCACCATCATCATCATCACAATCAGGATCTTGGTCATCATGATCATCAGAATTTAACATTATGACAATTAAAATTATGTATTTGTATTTCTTTTAATTTTGTATTTTCATATTGATGTATTTTTCTATATTGTAATTTTATGAGCAATGACTTTTTCTCAATGTAATTTCCTTTAAGACAAATAAATTTGAATTATGAATCATCATCATTATCCTCCTTGTCATCTTCCCATGACCATGCAGATCATGAGTCATCATCATAGCCATTAGGCCGGGCCCTCACTCTGCTCGGCGGTCATCAGCAGATGCGATTCTATAAACAACGAAATGCCATGATGAGCGTGCAACGGATCACTTTAATGACTGTCCGTTCCGACTGACATCGACAATAAGCGGCAAATTTGGATTCAGCGTACGACCATCGTATGACTGGCATTTGACGCAGTAAGTGCCCAGCTTTACTTTGTGATTCTTCACAAACTTGTGATTCAGAAATAAAAAATGAAATGATATAAACCGAAATTATCTTTATTGTAATTCCTCCTTATCCTACTCATCATCACTGTCTTTATCGTATACTTACTGCTGATGTGGAGCTTGATCGGTAGGACGCCTGCTGGTTGGATTGAGAAGAGGACACGCCACCAAACTGTACCCTAACACACATCGGCATCCAGGAATTGTTGCGAACAAATCTTCTGTATTCCTTCTTTACCTGAAAAAAAAAAACATAAAATGAAAATATATAACACAAATTTTGTAAGGGCTCGATTAAATTTTGAATACACTATGCAGTAGATATTGTAAAGAAGTTGAAATGATAGTTACTGACTATATTTAAGTAATAGAAAAAAAACTTATCTTAGCCATCACCTTCATCATTATGCCATCATTATTATCATTAAAATTAAAATATTCACTAATTGACCAAAAACGTTGATAATGATGATGTAGTTGTTCTTTCCACATCTTATGCTTTGACTATAATATACAAATACAACTACCAACACAATTACCACCAAAAACACAAAGAATATATAAATGTGTGAACCAATTTCATTGGCCAATTTTCTCACCTTATCATTCATCAAGCAATGGAATACAAATATGAAAACGCCTTGCACTGAATTGAAAATAGTGAAGATGTACGCAAAGAGGACAGTGCTATCACTAACATACAGCAAACCAAAGATCCATGTGATTCCCAGGATGCACAGCAGTACGAAGGAACCACGCACCCATGACCTGAAGGATCAAAAGAAAGAGAAGATTATAAGATACCGTTAAGTCCGAAGGATAAGTACTTCACAATTTCTTCCGCTTGATCCATTTCTTTACAGAACTTGTTTTATTGATGGTTGGGAAAATTGACATTTAATTTTGGCACTATAGCAAGGCATTATATAGTTCTGAAATTGGCTGGGTGATCAATATGCCTCACTCACAGTCCCACGGTCCTGGGTTCAAATAATTTATTATTTTACTGTAGAATAATAAATGATTTGAACCCAGGACCTTGGGACTGTAAGTGAGGCATATTGACCACCCAGCCAATTTTTTTTTTGTACCTATAACTACTCATGTCATGACAAAAATTATAACCTGGAATGCAATACAAATGTGGCAAAGTCAAGCCAAACCAGTCACTCTCGCAAAAATTGATTTGAGTTATTAATACAGGGTTAAAGAGTAAAATAAGAGCTATAAAATGGTGAAAGAATCATTTAAATCAGACATTTCTTTATGTAGTTACAGGAGTTTAAACATACAGTTGTTTAATGAACAATATATGAGAAATCAGCCTTCAAAGTTTATGATTTTGGGCATTACTCATGCAGAAACTATCATCAAATCCTTAAAAAGTGTTTGTTTTAGCATTGAAAATGGAGAAAATAACAGCATAGCATGATGTATAGATATATAAAGATTAGTTTAGTGCAAATATAGAATTTTAAAAATTTGACATTTCAGCATGTTTTGGCCATTTTCTCTGAAACACGATTTGCGACGAGTGACTGGTTTGACTTGTCTTGCCACAAATCATGACATTACAACAATTTTAACTGTGTATGCTCAACAAAACTTTTTTACTATCACACTGACTGCCAACTAAACGTCATATAACCTACTTATTTGAGATTGCCAATTATGTTTTTATTGAGTAGAAGTTGGTTCTATATAAATATTGCAAATTATTTTCAATAAAATATTGCAAAAATCTCACAATCACATGTATCATACAAATACACAACTTGCGTTTATGTAAATATTTGACTACAAAGGGATGGTACTATATTTTAAAATTTTATTTAAAATGATGACTGCCAGACCTTTTTTCAGATTTCTTCCTGTGTACCAAAACAAGTACCGGTATACATGTACAAACATACTTTTTTGAAATTTTTATGTAGTCATATATCTTCAAAATGTTGTGTCTAATAAATTGGCGGGAAAATATTTGGGGATGAGTAAACTCGTCGCTGGCAATTGGACAGTACTTTTCAATTGCCTTTGCCAGGTGCGAGTTTTCTCGTCCGCTTTTTGCATGAGTTGGTATAGGTTCAGAGGCGAGGGCGTTCCACTTGTGTAATCGAGTGTACTGCCGGCAATATATCACAACAAACATACATACGTTATTTGTACGTTATCGTCTAGGTGTATCTTCCCCGAACTATCAGCCGTTAAATCTGTGGTTCTACAATGTATAACAATAAAGTAATAAACGATAAAATGTTACCCCGATTTTGACGAGTATAGTCGTCCCTAGCGCCCTCAGCAAACACCCTGTGGGACAAGTATACTCGTCGCTGGCAGCGAATGTGTTAAAAATAATTTCAACAAAATATGTTCTCCAAGATTTATTCATGTGGTGTACTGCAAATTTATATTATAGTGAATATATTTTACAACTCTTATGATAATATTATAACTATTTAAATCAATAATTATAACAATATACTAGTAGTAAATAAAAAGTGCTCTGAAGCATCAAAAAATTATATACACATCACTGCACTTATTTATTTACGATACTGTTCTAAGTGACAACCGTCTTTATTTACAGATATATACTGTTTTGAATCAATTTCACTGTGCTTTTTTTTTATTTGCAAGTTAAAAAAAGCACCATTCCCATGCTGTCTAACATATTTTATACTATATTATACCTTTCAATAAAATATTGCAAAAATCTCACAATCACATGTATTGTACAACGGAACAGCTTGTTTTTATGTAACTAATAGATGGCAAGGGGGAATGGTGCTATATTTTTTGTTAATTCATATTTAAAAACATCAGTTCTTCTCAGATTTATTCGTATTTACTTGTATTCTATGAACTGACATGGAAAACATTTTCTCGAACCAAACTTTAATTAAAGGGTACATAACTTACTTTTAAAATATAATGTAAAAATAAAAACATCATCATCATTTATATAATGTTCTACCCCAAGTAGTAGGAAGTTTTCGATTTATGCGACAACGCGACGCTAGAACGGACACACTCATGCGTGACCATCCTACCTGGTGACCTACGTTCTCTGCATACGTAAATTTGGCCAAATTGTGTTCCAGAATCTACTTGACGAGGTGACCTTAATGTTCTCGCATGCGCAGATGACTTTTACTGACGTCCTTACGTTCTACGTCCTACCGTCGTCGTGCAATCGACAGCTCCTTAATGTTTAAAGCCCTATCCTAACTATCAAACACACTACTCTTGTCAATTTTCGTAATCATTCAACCCATTTAATTTTTCCTTTTGCTATAAATGAGTAGTTTTTTCCTTCCTTATCAATCCCAAATGTTTTGTATCTCACGCACCTCAAATCCCACCAGCTCACATGACTATCAACACGCTACCATGTTTTGCGTATCAAGTATCTTAAATTCGACCAGCTCACACGAGTATCGATGCAGTGGAAGTTGTGCGTGTCATGCATTTTCAACTTCCGCTAGCTCACAAGGCAATTGTACATCGTGAACCCATTAAGAATTCTAATTACATTATGACTTCATTTCTTGGTAAACTTGTCCGTCTGGTGCGGTTCTCTCTAGGGAAATGTGTTCTCTTTGGAGTTTAATGTAAAACTGGCTGGAAGCACTAAACACCAACTGTTCATTTACATCCAAGCTTTTGAAAACCATTAAAGTCGACGAGATAATGTGACGTCACTTTTTACAGAACCGTGATAATTCCAATTTCCTCTGTACTGATTCAAAGGATATTGAATATCCAGATATATGATACTCATTCCCTGTTCAATTTTTAAAAAATACCATTCAAAAATGTACCTGATCAATCTAAGAATCAATCTAAATTTTATTTGACACATTTTCTATTTTAATTATCTCAAAGTATTCACAAAAAAAAGACTTACGTCAGTTTCTCTTTGGTGGTTTTCTGTCGTTTGTTCGTTGCTATAGTGCTGTGACGACACATGATCACAAACGCCATCGTGAGAAAAACCGTGTTTACCTGCGTGTAAAACATATCAGTGCTTGTATTAAATAGGAAGTAAAAAAATAAGAATGAAAATTAAAATGTAACGCAATGAATGTCATTTTATCTAATAATATCAGAATAGATTAAATTTTTAGGAGTAGGATTTATTGCCTGTTTGTGGTGTTACCCAGGCACGGATTCATAATTTTTTACAGGGAGAAGTGGACAAAAATATGAAAAAATGGGAAGCGTTAGCATTAGTGGCATAATGACAAGGTCGCCTCTACTGAAACACTTTGTATTTGTATTCCATTTCATATCTTATTCGTATGATCGTAAAATCGTATGTATTGAAATCCTAAAATTTAGTGGTAAAAATCAGGAGTGCAGATCTTCCCCTTTCATTTTACATTTGGTCCTGCGAAGGACTCTCCTTGTTTAAAGACTGGGTAAAATTGCCAACTTTTTGTTTCTTTATACATTAGCTTTTAACCTTGAGTGGCTCCTACTATAGCCTTGATTAGTGGAATATTCACTATTCAAGACAGCTTAAAGGAAATGAGGTTGATTACATGTAGTCTATGCTGGGGGATGGCTGTATTAATTTTGAGAGTCTTCAATTTAGGAAACACTCGCAATTGGTGGTTTCCAGAAAAGCATTCACAAATCATTCCCTGTCAAGTAATACACCCATGTAACTCTATTTGATCCAGGTAAAAGAAAAAAAAGACATGACCATAGGAAATATTCCATTCAGGATAAAGACAACACTAACATTACAACTTACCAGCATCAAAATTAATAAATAACATGAAAGACAATTGAAAAACACCCAAAATTTAACACTTTTTGAAAATACTGCAATTAAAAATATAATAACAATGAGATGGCAAGTATTTCAATACTTGGAGTATGTGGAGTATTATACTTTCTTATGAGATTAATAACAATAATAAGAATACTAATATACCAAAAAGAATAATGTTGACTCAATATATACAATTGTTGAAACTAGTCTATAATCTTTGAGAATATTAATAAGAATAATAACAATAATAAAAATAGTAACACTAACAAAAATAACAATAATAATAATAATCAAATAAAAATATTTATATCAAATAAGTTTATTTTGGAGTTTGTGTAGCCTTTGAATTATTCTTTATCCTCAGCATAAGCCCTATTACGATTCTCATTTCCGATATCACACTAACTTGACACAAAATTGACCATTATCAATAGAAAAGGAAAGACTTGGAAAGTCAGTGAAGCAATTCGCATCATAAAATCTCACCCTTGAGGGATTGCGAACTATCCTAATGAATTTAAACCATATCATTTGGACTATCCCTCGAGTTTATATGACAAAATCTAGGTCAAATAATTCTGAATGAGCTCAGATTTCATACCCAATACTAGTTAATAAATCTCACAGGCTAGAAATTTGTCAACAATGAATTATCACCAAGAGCAGTGGTACTTGACGATAGCAATTTTAAAACTCAAATTCACACCGAAAAAAATGTAAGGTTAATATAATATCTGGTATTTGACAGATTTCAATACGAAAGTAGGTTAAGATTATTACTCAATACGATTATGATAATTTATATAAGTTATTTCAAATGTGATAACAAAATATACTATTTCTCAGGTAAATGATCGAAGGTTGTAGGTCTCAAAATGAAACATACTGACACCTATATAGGTAGCATAGAATAAAATATTTTATTTCATAATTTGATTTTGGAATTTTCAACCAAAATAATAAATTACAGAATTCACTTTCTGAATAGTACATTGTTATTTTATTCAAGAAAAAGTATGTAAACAATAAAGTACAAAGTCTTTAAG